AGGGCTCAGGGAGCCCTGACATCCCTCAGTTCCTGCAGAATTTGGGAAAACCGGATGAAATCAGAGCAGGGGAGCTCAGGCAGCTTCAGGCCCTCGTTTATCCGGCAATTTTTTGCTCCTGATGGGTTTTATTCTTATTTTATTTCGACTTGATTTCTTTTGAACTCCCCCAGCCTGATCCAGGTGCCCTGGGTGGTTGGGCCTTTGCTGTTCCTGCTGCAGGGAATGGGATACAAGGGGCAAAAACACGTCTCCAGACTGCAGCCTCTATACATATATCAGGTTTTTTTACACTATCTACAACCAGGGATTAGGTGGGTTAAAGTTCCTGCTACTCCTTTAAAAAAATACCCAGAGGAAAAAAACAAACCAACCAACCAAAAAAAAAAACCAAACCCAAACCCCAAACCTGTACATTTCTGTAAATTACATCTTTAGAAGAATAATTTTTTTGTGTGTTTTGTGTTTTTTAGAAGCTCATAAAACACTTCAGGGGTCATTTGGAGAGAGAGAGAGAGAGAGAGAGAGAAAATTAAATGATTGGACAAGACAGGTTAGAAATTTGTTCAAATCAAGTCAAACAGACCAAGCACTTTGACAGAGTTATTTTTGTAAACTTCTAGTTTTGCTGTTCAACTTTACACACTGGAAATGAGCAGAACTTCAGCTGAGGGCCTCAGCCCTGTTACAATACAAAAGGTACTGAAAAGCAAAAAAAAAAAAAAACAAAACTATTAAATAATTTAATATACAAGTGTAGTTAAAAAGCTTCTGTACATTGTCACTGATGTACATCGGGCTGGAGAGATAGAAAATCACCGGGTTATGTTCAAATTTACACGGGGGTTGGGAGTCCTGGGGTGGGAAGGGGGCTCTGGAGCTGAGTTTGGGACAGGGGGAGGGGTTTGTTGGGCTCAAAGCCAAGCCCAGGGCGATCCCAGGTGGATCCTCCTGGTGTGGCAGCACATGGATCCTGCTCCAAACCCCTGAGATCAGCACCAGCCTTCCCTCCAGTCCTTCCTTCTCTCTCCCCTTCCTTTTTGTTCCAGCCTGGAACTCTCCAAAGCGGCCTGGATCACCCCCAACAAGGACCAGGAGAAGCCACACTGGGAATTGTCCCCGGGAATTTGTGTCCCTGCCCCCCCATCTCCAGCTCTGGGGGTCCCTGAGCAGCACGAGGAGGTTGGGAAATGAGCCTTCCCCAACAGGCACTGCTGGACATCTCCCTGCAAGAGGCTTTTCCCCCCCAAGGCTCAGCCCCAACCACAGCTCTCTGGGGTGGGGGTTCTGTCAGTCCTGCCCTACAGGAGCAGCACTTTGACCCTGCCAGCATTTCAGGCCCTGGCTGCCCCATCCCTGGAAGGGTTTAAGCCCAGCTTGGAGCAGCCTGGTCTAGTGGAAGGTGTCCCTGCCCGTGGCAGGGGGTGGGAATTGGACGATCCTTAAGGTCCTTCCCAACCCGACCCACTCTGGGAACCTGCTCCTAAAATTAAAAGCCAATTTCTGAAGAGCTGAGATTAAAGTGAATCACAGAATATCCTGAGCTGGAAGGGACCCAGTTCCTGACAGCCTCGGGCTGGATGGACAGACAGACAAGAGGGTGCCTGGACCCCCTGCCTGGGACTGGCTTTCCAAGCCCCTCTTTTCCAGTTGCTCCTCGTTCAGGAGCTCAGGGCACTGCCAAGGGCAGGGAAAAGCATTTGGGGGCTCAAAAACTGAGTTGTTGCAACTCAGTGACTTCCAGAGGGGAGGAAAAAAAAAGGGAGATCCTGCTTCCCACACCAGGGCAAGGCAGAGCAGCCCATGGGGCATCAACATTCCCAAGGGGGGGTCGTTCCTGACCCCAGTCCCAGCACGGGGGGGGTGCTGAGCTCCTGGGGGGTGCAGCAGTGGGACCCCAAAGCTCCCCCCAAACTGGGGGCCCACTGGCCTGGAGCTCCCATGGGAATGCCTTGGGATTCAGAGCCTCAGGCACACCCCAGGAGCTGGATCCCCCCCGGACTGGGACCTCTGGATCACACCTTTCTTTCCTATTTTTTGAGTTTAAACAGCCCTGAGGGTTTTCCTTGCAATGCCAGGGACAAGACTCCCTGCCTGCAGTGGTGTCAAGGCCACGTTTTCCCCTCTGGAGATTTAACAAGGCCTAAAACACACCAGAGCCAAGGTCTGGGATCAGGATCTCCATGGGGGAGGAACCACAAAATCCTGCTTTGGTGACTGGACAAACCCCTGTCCCTGGAATGTCCTTCAGAGGGGAAAACTGAAGGGTTTGGATTGCAAAAAAAACACCTCTGAGCTGCTGAGAGAGAGAGGGGATGGGAACTGGGAAGGAAAAATGAGCCCTGGGGGCTGAAGTGAGATGATTTTAAGGTCCCTTCCAACCCATCTGTGACTGAAGAAAAGGTTTAGGGGGTCAGTCCCCTCTCTGACTGAACCACTGAGAGCCCTACACGTTCCTCTGCCCTCCCCTGTTTAAGCTGGGAGATGAATATCCAGAGCTACCAACGGAGAAAAACACCTTTATTCAACCCCAGGGACCCCCCAGGCACTGCTGGGCCCTGGCAAAACCTGGAATTAACTCCTCCCAGCTCTCTGCAGGCCCAGCCTGTGTCCTGCTCTGAGGCTGCACAGGCACAGGGAGGGAGAACTCACAGCTGGAGAGGCCAGAAAGCTGAGCTAGAACAGGGAATCTTACCTGGGAAAGCCTGGAAACTGGGCAGTTTTGCCCAGGGCAAGACTGTAGATTCATGTTAAGCCTCTGGCTTAGGTTGGGTCTGGGTTTAACCACCTGGTTTAACTCTGACTCTGTAAATCCTTAAGGCACAGGTGCCTTCACTGCCAGGCTGCAGCAAAGATGCAAAAGGTTGTTTTTTCCCCAGTTGTTTGGCCCATGAAGGGATCAGACAGGAGGAGAGGAACGTTCCTGCTCCCACAAACCCCACAAAGCCAGGAGAGAGCTGTGGTTCTGGGCCAGGGACAGGGAAGGGGGGCCCTCACAGGGACACACAGTGGTGGCTCTTTGTCCCACTCTGCCCTGGGACACCAAAACCTGCCCCAGCTCCTCCTTCCCCAACAACAGCACAAAAAAACCCCAGGAGAATTCCACCTCAGGAACTACACTGGGAGCTTCAGGGCACCCCAAAATCCATCATGATTTCACCCCATCACCCCCAGGGAGGGCACAAGAGCAGGACCACACTCCAGGGGAAAGGGGGGAGTGGATCCAACGTGGATCCAAGTGAGTCCTCTTTGCTTCCCAGGAGCTCCCAACCAGGAGGGATCTGAACAGGGTGAAGGAACACGAGTCCTTTGGACTAAAAACCTCAATTCTCAGCCAGAGGGGGAGCAGCTCAAAGCAGCAGCTCAAACCAGCACACACACCCCAGGATATTCCTGCCTGGAAGGAGCAGCTCCTGCTGCCCTTCCCACCAAGGGCTCCTCTTGTCCTTCTGCCACCTCTCTCCTGCCACCTCTCTCCCAGCAAGGCCTCCCTCCCAGAGGAACCTGCTGCCTTTTCCTGGCAGAAAAGGGGTTTTGCGTGTTTTTTTTTTTTTTGTGTGTCTGTGTTTTTTCTCCTTTTGTTGTTTTTTTGTTTGTTTGTTTGTTTGTTTTTTGGCTTTTGTTTGGTGGAGGTTTGTCCTGAATAGTTACTGTGGTTCACAGGAGGCTGGCCAGGCTGGTGGTGGGGCCGTTCTGGGCCTGGAACTGCACGGGGGGGGGTCCATCTGTCCACTGCAAGAAGAACACACACCGTGAAAATTCCCGGGAAATTTTCTCCCTGGGAAAAGGATTTCTCCCTGGGAAAAGCAGGACTGGCCACCCAGAGCTTCCCTGACACTTGGGGGAGCCCACCTTTCACCCCCCACACGCCAGGTTTGGGTTTTCCACGTCCCTGGAACGGGTGTTTCTTGGGGAGCCCCTCCACACCCCCACCATTCCCAACCCAGGGGAAGCAATTCCTGCTCTTCCAGGGACAAACTGGACCCCTGAGCACAGGAAAGCACAGGCAGGGACCCACCTGGATGTGCCAGAGGCTCCCAGGGCAAGGCAAAGGGTGCTCGTTTCGTTGCTTATCTCCCCTCTCACCTCGGCCAAAAATCTTCCAAAATTGGGTATTTATTTCTTAATCCTTTTTTTTTTCCCCCCCTCCAGGTTTTTAATCCAGGGCATCTCTGTGCCTGGCTCAGGATGGATGGGGGCTCAGGGATCCCCCAAAACTGCTGCTCACAAACCCTCAAAGCTCTCAGGTTTCCCCCCTGGGAGCAAAGCCAGCAAACAGCTCTTCCCTACTGGCCTTTCCCCCTCCTTTTCCTCCCCAAAGATGTCCAGTTCCTCACATCCCACGTTCCCCTCTGGATGTTCTCTCAGTTATTTCAGAACAGAATCACCTCCTGCTGTTGCTGAGGGAACTATTCCACGTTTTTAAACCTGTGTTAAAATGCTTCTGACAGGAAAAAACAGATAAATAAGATGGATATTTATAGATAAATGGGGGGGGGGGGGGAAAACCCCACTTGGGAATTCTGAAGTCCCAGTGCAAACTGCCTGGGACTGGGTTTCCAAGCCCCTCTTTTCCAGTTGCTCCTCGTTCAGGAGCTCAGGGCACTGCCAAGGGCAGGGAAAAGCATTTGGGGGCTCAAAAACTGAGTTGTTGCAACTCAGTGACTTCCAGAGGGGAGGAAAAACCCCACTTGGGAATGCTGAGGTCCCAGTGCAAACTGCCCTTCGAGCTGTGCCCAGCAAAGCATCCCCAGGACAAGGCAGAGGGGATGGCCCAGAGCCCCCAATTGAGTTCAGATCAAAAGCAACAGCTGGCACCCAAAACAAGAGGCCACCTGATCACACCCAGTGGCCACAAAAGCCATTTCAAAAGCCAAACAGGAGCTCTGGGGGTGGCAAGAAAACACCTGTGAGAAGCAAAGCCCAAGAATGAACTCGCTGGGTCGCCTCTCCTGCTGGCAGTGCCACCAACCAACCCTCACAAAAATCACTTTCTGTCACTTTTCCCGCTCTCAGAGCAGTTTGAACTGCAGGGAGCTGACTGAATTCGGGGAGCTGGGTGGGAAGGGGGCAGGGGGAGGCAGGGGTCGTGCCCTCACCGTGATCAGGTTGTGCTCAGGGAGGCTGCAGGCCTCGATGTGGTCCTGGAGCAGCTGCTGGGAGAAGTTCTGGTGCATCTGAGCTGCCTCGTGAGCATCCATGGCATTCCCACAGGCCTTGTTGAGGTCTGGAAGACAGCAGGGGAAAAAAATAACCCCACTGCTTTGCACCCCAGGGCCAAGGGAGCAGCTCCCTTTATCCCAAAGCACCGGTCCCTGGGTGGGATGGGGATCATTCCAGCACCAAACCACGTCGGCCCAGAGCAAAAACCTCCCGAGGAAACCCCAACCCTTCCCTTTTCCAGCAGGATTCGCTGCTGTTCCAGCTTCCAGCTATCCAAAGGAACATCAAAGCAGCTCCAGGAGGAGGAAGGAAACTCCTGACACCACTGGAAGCCCCTGAGCAGCCTGGGCTGGGATTTTCTGCCTTCCAGCCCCATCTAGTGGGACTGGGACAGACCCGCTGCTTCCACCACACATCCCAGGGATCAGGCATCCAGCCTGGCCTCGGGCACTGCCAGGGCTGGGGCAGCCACAGCTGCTCTGGGAATTCCATCCCAGCCCCTCCCCACCTCAGCCAGGAATTCCTTCCCAATATCCCATCTATCCCTCTGGCACTGGAAGCCATTCCCTGTGTCCTGTCCCTCCATCCCTTGTCCCCAGTCCCTCTCCAGCTCTCCTGGAGCCCCTTCAGGCCCTGGAAAGGGCTCTCAGCTCTCCCTGGAGCCTTCCCTTCTCCAGGTGAGCACCCCCAGCTCTCCCAGCCTGGCTCCAGAGCCAGGGGAGATTCTGAGTTATCCCATTCCATGTCTGGGCATTCCCAGCCATCCCCAGGAAGGCCCTTTCCCCCCTCACCTCTGAGCAGGGCTGAGGACCAGAGCTGCACAGACATGTCTGGGATCTTGCTGGCCAACTGCATGGCTGGGACCACCATGTTGTTGCTTTCCTGGGGGAGAGCAGAGGGCAAAGCAAACAAAATAAATGGGATATTTGGGGTGGTTTTTTTCCACCCCTTGCAAACACACAGGTGTCAAATCTGCCTCCTTTAATTTGTGCCACGTCCTGTCACTCCCAGCTGGGAGCCTTTGATGGGACAACCCCAAAAACTCATCCCAGAGCTGCCTGGGATTTGCTCCATCCTGGGAATTCCAGTGCAGCACAGCAGAAATATTCCCTGTGCTCCAGCACAACAGTGAGATTTCAGGATTGTATCCACAATTCCTCCCTGAACAGTCCAGTGGAACGATGCCACTTGTCCTTTTCCAGCCCCTTTTCCTCAGGCATTAAGGAACAGACACTTCAAACACCTGATTAAAGTTATTAAACGTGCAAATCCCAGACCCAAGGCAATAAAATGCCAACTTTTTGTGGGACAGCGATAAAAAAAAAAGGCTCTGGGATTTCTTTCTCACCCTGTGGTTGCCCAGCACGTAGAAGATGTGCCCCAGCAGCACCAGGGAACAGGCTGTGAGCCGGTTCAGATCCTCGGCGTTGGACATCTTCAGGGTCTCCCTCAGGAACCGCCTGGAAAACGGGGAGAAAAAGGGGGTTTGACAACATCCCTTCCCTCCCAGCAGAGAAAAACCATCATGGAAAGCTGAACCGAGAGCTGGAGTAACTGGAAAACATCAGGAGTAGGGAATGAACGTGCTGCAGGTGATCTGAAAGCACCGAATTCCCAAAGCTCGGCTGCCACTTGGCAGAAAAGGCTGTGGCAGAGCTCCCCCCTTTGGAAAACTGCACCAAGGACACGAGATTCCAAAGGATCCCACAGGAAAGAGATCCGGATTTTCCGTGGGACAGACCCAACACAGGCTGAAGTACATCAAAGCTACTTTAAAACTTCACCTTGCCTGTTAAAAAGGGGGAAAAAACACGCAATAAATGATGAAAAAGCACAACCCTTAACTAAATTTCCTGGGAGGGAGTCAGGAATTCAGCTGACAGCTCCAACTCCGAGAGGCTTGGGGGTTCTCCATGAGTTCTGGGTTCAGTTTTCGTGGGATGGGTGGGCAGGGATTAGGGGAAAGGAGGGATTAATTCAGCTTTTTGGGATGGGAGTGGAAACCCCGAGGCCTCGTTTCTGCCTCTTCTCCCCGTGGGTTTCTCCAACCTCCTGCTTTGTTCAGGGGAGAACAGCAGGAAAGCTGCTGGCTTTGGATCCCCCAGGGGTTTGTACTCACTTTGCCTCGTTGTATCTCCCCTGGAAGAAGGAGAAGAGCCCTCGGATGTAAAAAGCTGCAGCTCGGAGACAGTGGGAGCTGGGGGGAAAAGCACAGGTTGGGATCTCAGCACCAGGGAGGGATCAGGGAATCCCACACGGATTGCTGGGAATTCCCACCCTCCCAAAAAAAAAAAACCAGCTTCCCAATTCATTATTACATAGGTCAGAACTTCTGCCTTGGAAATAAGTGGAGTGTTCTGCTTCCTCTTTCAAACCCTGCCACAAACCCCCTGTTCCCATCCCCGGAATTCTCACCTCACGGGGAAATTGTGGTCTGGATTTATCCTTTCCAACAGGCTGTAGAGCTGCAGAGTGGGAGAGGAGAGGGAATAATCAGCATTTCTCACACACACAGCCCGACAGAAAGTGCTTTTCTGAAGTGTAAGTCGAACCAGAAGGGTGCAGATCATCCCAAACACACCCGAATTCCCCCCCTCTGGTGGGATCAGGGCACACACACTCCAGCATTTGGAGCTTTCGTGCCCGTTTCGATCCCCAAAATCAAGTTCTGGATAAAATATCCTTCCTCAGACCTCGGGGGATTTTCTGGACAGCTATTTTATTTCCCCAGGAAACTGGTGGCTGTTGTGTCTCAGCTGTCCAACAACCCCAAACCAGTGCTGGGTCAGACCTGGTGTTTGATTCCAACCAGAATTCCACTCAGCCAAGGAAAAATGGTCCATTTTTAATCATCATTTTTCTCTCTCTCTAAGCCTCTTTCCCCCCCACCAAAAAAGTCCTTTTGTGGGTTGTGGCAAAGTTCACGTGGAGCCTCTTCACCAGACTCCTGCAAACACACCTCTGAGGGCCCTCACACCCCTGGGAGGGTGGAAATGGGGGATTTGGGGGGAAATTTGGGGACTGGAAGGGCCTCAGGGTGAAGCCAAAGGAACACAACACCTCCAGGGACCTGTTTGTGGCTGCCCAGTTATTGATGGAACCTCCCAAAACCCCCAAGCAGAGGGACAGGGGTGGGGGGGGAAGGTGGGAGTAAAGCCACCATTCCCATGGGAAGCTGGGAAGAATCCTGGGGATGAGCCAGAATTCTGGGGATGAGCCAGAACATTCTGATCCAGAACACTCTGACCCACAACACTCTGACCCAGAACACTCTGACCCAGAACACTCTGACCCAGGACACTCTGACCCAGGACACTCTGACCCAGAACACTCTGACCCACAACACTCTGACCCACAACACTCTGACCCACAACACTCTGACCCACGACACTCTGACCCACGACACTCTGACCCAGGACACTCTGACCCAGGACACTCTGACCCACGACACTCTGACCCAGGACACTCTGACCCACAACACTCTGACCCACAACACTCTGACCCACAACACTCTGACCCACAACACACTGACCCACAACACTCTGACCCAGCTGATTCCTCTCCCACTGCCTGGTGAAGGAGCTGCTGTGCCAGGCAAGGCTCCCACCGCAAAACCCTCCAGGGAAAAGCAGAATTCCAAGGCCAGGAGGTGTTCCCCCTGCAGGGAAGGGGGCTCTGGGGGCAGGCAGGGCCCATGTACCTCCTGGTGCCTGTTGCCCTCCCGGATGTACACGCTGGCCAGGTTGGTGACAATGAATGCCCAGAGCTCCTGGTGTGTCGTGAGCTGGGAGGGACAGAACAACAACAGCACAGTCACACATTCCACGTATTCCAGAGCCTCCCCTGGCATCTGCTCATCCCAGAAAAATCCCACGTTTTTATGCCTGATGTTGTGATGCCATAAAACCCTCCAGGCTGGAAGCACAGGAAAAATTAACAGGGCAGTGAAGCTAAATACAGATTATTGCCAGGTTTCCCTTCTGACCTGGCCACTCCCACACAATTCCAACAGCCCCACTCCCACAGGAAAGCCTGGAAGCAGAAATCTCACCCTCAGTGCTGTAGTGAATTGTGCTTCTGCGTTGTCCATGCAGTTAACAGAGATGCAGTAGAGGCCCTGGAGGAGGAGAAATGTAAATGATGATCCTCACAGCGAAGAAAGGCACCCCCCAAACCCACAGAAATCCCGGGATATCGCCAGGGAAAAGCAACCAACAAGCCCTGGATGTGCTTGGCTCTGGGAAAAGTAAGGAATTCTTACAGAAAGCCCTTTAAAATAAGCTCATTCATGTAAAAAAAGCTTTATTTAGCTGAGGAAACCATAAATGTCACGCAATGCTCAAAATTTCCTACGTGACAATTCCCATTAAAAACCATCTCCAGCTGTTTTAAACCTCCTGAATTTACCTCCTTGACTATTTGTGATACAAAATCCAATACAAATCTTTTTCCAGAAAACCTGTGGATTCCCCATCCCTGGAAGTGTCCAAGGCCAGGCTGGAGCAACCTGGGATAGCAGGAGGTGGGATGGGATAGGATGGGATGGGATTTAAGGTCCTTCCAACCCAAACCCGCTCCAGGATTCCCCAACACTTATTTCCAAAGGGTTTTAAAAGCCTCAGACAGGTGGGAATCCCACCAGGGGTGAGGCCCCACAGGAAAGGATTCCTGCTGCTCTACTCCCTGCCTGCCCTGAGTTCCCAGGGATGAGCAGGAGAGAGGGATCTGGTGCTCCCAGGAGCTGCCAGGGGTAATTCCAGGCACTCACCAGGAGCGTGTGGAGCTGGGCAGCGTGGTTGGAGAAGAGCCTGGGTGACTGCTGGCACAGCTGGCACACCTGGGAGATCTGGCACAAGCACAGAGAGTCACATTTTAGGACACTTTTTCTCCGTTTCCTGCTCCAAATCCACCTCCTTCCCCCCCACACGTGTGTCCAGGTCTCAGTGATTATCCCAAGGATCCCAAATTACGCTCCTGGGTAGAAGCTGGAGGCTGGATGTGCCTCCAGCCCAGGGACAGGCACTGCCCCACGCCCCAGCTGCTCTGGGATGGTTTTGCTCCAGCAGCTCCACCCCCTGCAAACCAAGTCACAGATCCCTCCTGACAGACCCCAAACCCGAAATTCTGCAGAAAAACTGGGATAAAATATTCCAGGGAACGGGCCAGGAGCAACGGCCAGTTCTGAACCTCCCTGCTTGGGATGATCCAGCACCTCCCCTAAGCACGGGATGGATGAGCAGGATTTGAAAATGACTGGAAAAATGGGAAAAGGCCCAGTCCTTTCTTGCACTAAACAACACAGACCCTCCCTTGCTCTCCTTCCACTGTGTGGGAGGAAAGGACAGAAAGGCAGGAGGTCTGAAAGCTGGGAAATGCTCGGACAAGGAAGAGGAAGGAGCCACCCTGGGAAGGGGAAAGACACCCCAGGCAGGCTGTAAATACAGCAGGAGGGTGTCAGCTGCACCATCAGCCACTGTCCAACTCCAAAGTGTCCTGAAAATACTGCAGAGGAGCCGATCCCACAGCTCCTGAGCTCCATCCCTCCCGGCTGCATCCATCAATAACTCAGCAGGAATTCCTGCCTGAGCCCAAATATCTCCCCCCAGGCCGAAATTCCCACGTTTTAAAGGCCATCCCTGCGTCCACCCCCATCCCAGGGAATGCTGGAATCCCACCCCAGGGAGTGCTGGAATCCCACCCCATCCCAGGGAGTGCTGGAATCCCACCCCATCCCAGGGAGTGCTGGAATCCCACCCCATCCCAGGGAATGCTGGAATCCCACCCCATCCCAGGGAGTGCTGGAATCCCACCCCATCCCAGGGAATGCTGGAATCCCACCCCATCCCAGGGAGTGCTGGAATCCCACCCCATCCCAGGGAATGCTGGAATCCCACCCCATCCCAGGGAATGCTGGAATCCCACCCCAGGGGATGCTGGAATCCCACCCCATCCCAGGGGATGCTGGAATCCCACCCCATCCCAGGGAATGCTGGAATCCCATCCCAGGGAGTGCTGGGATCCCACCCCATCCCAGGGGATGCTGGAATCCCACCCCATCCCAGGGAGTGCTGGGATCCCACCCCAGGGAATGCTGGAATCCCACCCCATCCCAGGGAGTGCTGGAATCCCACCCCATCCCCATCCCAGGGGATGCTGGAATCCCACCCCATCCCAGGGGATGCTGGAATCCCACCCCATCCCAGGGAGTGCTGGAATCCCACCCCATCCCAGGGAGTGCTGGAATCCCACCCCATCCCCATCCCAGGGGATGCTGGAATCCCACCCCATCCCAGGGAGTGCTGGGATCCCACCCCATCCCAGGGAGTGCTGGGATCCCACCCCAGCCTCACCTCCTGCAGGGCTGTGGCTTTGTGTCCCGTCACCAGCCGGCACATGATGATGTGTTCCAACAAAATCACTTGGAATGAGGACAGGATGGGGCTGCAGTCCAGCACTGGAGAGGGAGGGAAGGGAGCACAGCAAGTGGAGTTACCTCAGGAATTTACAACCCAGTTCACTGAGTCGCAGCAAAACCCCCCCAAACTTGGTATTTTAACAGTAACAATATCATTAACAATATTACTACTACTAATAAACAAACCACTAATTTTTGTACTCAAAGCAATCAGCTAAAAGAATTATAGTGGGAGCAGTGAAACAAACTGGGAACAAACAGTGGGAAAAGTTGTTACTCTCAGTAGTGTTTCTGCATTTAAAGCAACCACCCAGCCTTAAAAAAGAACAAAAGTCTCAGTCTGATCTTTGACTGACCAGGGAGCCAAAAAAGGCTGTGTTTGGTTTAAATTAGCAACAAATACTAGAATTTTGCAGCATCATCTGAATTCCAAGCCTTCTCCTTACTTTTTAGCTTCTCCAGCTGCATGAGGGCTTTGTCTGTGTACTTCTGGGCCTTCTCCAGGTACCCTGCCTGCATGGAATGCATCACTGTCACCTGCAGGGAGACACAGCACGGCTCACTCACCTTCCTCAGCCTCCCAGGAGCACTGGGATGGGATTCCCAGACAAACTGGGCACGTCCCAGTCCCTGGAAGTGTCCAAGGGCAGGCTGGAGCAGCCTGGGACAGCAGGAGGGGTCCCTGCCCGGGGCAGGGGGTGGCACTGGATGAGCTTTAAGGTCCCTTCCAACCCAAAACTCCTCTGTGCCAAGAGGGAAGGGCTGGCAGTTCCCACGAGGCCTGGGAGTCCCCACAGCTGAGCTTTTCTAGCTCACCCTTGACAACATTTAGGGTTTTGAGTCACATTCGAGAAGTGGAACGACCAGTTCCAGAGACCTGGAGTCCAGTTGTCACAACACGGGTAAAAACTGAGCCAAGGTGGCTCCTCTTCACACAAATAAATCCACTTTTCTTTGAGTTGGATATTAATAGAGTTTAATTTCAGCTTTGGGGCTTCTTTCCCCTCTTGTCTCCCACTGGTGGTGCCAGGGATGCCGTGGCAGGATCCAGCTGCTGGTGCAGCACCGAGATCCACCCCAGCCCACTCCAGTTTTTACCCAACCCCTCGTTAATTAGCGACTGATTAGCGAGCAGAGCTCTCACCAGGTAGACCAGCACACACATGTGCTCCTTGGGCAGCCAGTGGAAGAGGTCAGCGGGGTTGCTGGGCAGGATCTCGTCGTCGTGCAGCGTGGAGATGGTCTGGATGCACTGCTGGAGCTGCTTCAGGCAGGGCTTCACGCTCTTCACCTGGCAAACCACACGTTCCAGAGGCACCATTCCAGGGGGGAAAACCTCCCAGGTAACAAATAACACCCCCCCCCAAGTCAGGGAATTACTCTGTGCCCAAAGTGTGACAGGGACCGTTCCAGGACGAACAACACTCTGCCATTTGTGGGTGAAAATCTGAGCAAAGCGTTTCCCAAAATTACAGGTTTTTGGCTGGTGGGTGTTACCCCCCCCAGCAGCACAACACGGAAGCAAGAGAGGCCAAAGAGCACAAAAACACCCCAGAAAACCTTCCCTCGAGGGAGAAATTCAAGTACTTTTCCCCCTCGTTTCACTCGTGACGAAAACCTACAGAAATTCAGTTTTGTTCCCCAAAAACCACCCCCCAGAGGTGTTTGTGGAGGCAGTGCTGCTCCTCCCAGAGTTCCCTGGGATCCCCCACCTACCTGCCCAGCATCCAGGTAGTGTGTGACCTGCAGGACCAGGAAGAAGACCCGCAGGGATTCCTTCTGGATGGGGTTCCCCTGCCAGTTCTCCACGATCTGCCCGCACAGGGTGAGCAGAGGGTGAACCTCCTGCAGCTTCCGCTCCATCAGGAGCAGCTGCAAGTCCAGAGGGAAAAGAAGGAAACCATGGATTTGGTGTTGAACAGTTCAAACACTCGGAGAACCACAGCACTGGGAGGAAGTGGGGTGGAATTCCCAGGGAAGCTGTGGCTGCCCCATCCCTGGAATTTTCCAAGGCCAGGCTGGAGAAATCTGGGATAGTGGGAGGATTCCCTGCCCATGGCAAGGGTGGCACTGGATGGGCTTTGAGCCCCTTCCAACCCAAACCACTCCAGGATTCTCATTCCAGGCCCATTTGATTTATTCATCTCATTGCAAGAGCCCTTTCCCACAGCCACAGCTTCCCTCCCTCCAGTGACAGTTTCCAGTCATCCTTTCACAATTCCCAGTTATTCTTTTCCCTCCCAGAAATCCTTTTACAGTTCCCAGTTATCCTTTTCCCTCCCAGAAATCCCTTCACAATTCCCAGTTATCCTTTTCCCTCCCAGAAATCCCTTCACAATTCCCAGTTATCCTTTTCCCTCCCAGAAATCCCTTCACAATTCCCAGTTATCCTTTTCCCTCCCAGAAATCCTTTTACAAACCTTTCACAATTCCCAGTTATCCTTTTCCCTCCCAGAAATCCTTTTACAAACCTTTCACAATTCCCAGTTATCCTTTTCCCTCCCAGAAATCCTTTCACAATTCCCAGTTATCCTTTTCCCTCTCAGAAATCCTTTCACAGTTCCCAGTTATCCTTTTCCCTCCCAGAAAAATCACATCATACTTAAGAAGGAAAAAAAAAACAACCCCTCAAACCTATTCAGGAGGATTTCACACCAATCCTGCAGACTCAAAGCTTATCCCAAATATATTTTAATGCCCTGCTTGCCCACAGGGCAAACAAGAAGATAAAAAAGCACAAAAAGGCACACAAGGCACCTTAAAAATTGGTTTATGGCCAGGCAAGTCTTGTTCATTTGCTCTGGAACTTGCACTAAACGAGTGAAGAGGTTATTTAAGAGAACATCCCACTCACCATCCCCTTGCTGAGCAGGAACAACGCTCTGAAATGGAATAAAACAAAGTTATGCTCACAGAGAGTTACTCAAACCACAATTACACATTAAAAAATAAAGAGGATTTGCTTTTCTCCCCCCTTGAAGAGCAGAAGGAAAAGAGTATTAAGGGACCTGCCCCAGGAAACCCATTTCAAAGCTAAGTGGAAAAAGGGCTGCAGGAACCAGAATTCCAGCCTCAGCTTTGCATCCAAGCTTTGGGCAGTTCCAGCTCCAAAAGTTTCTGAGCTCCAACCAGACAAAATTCAGTTTAAAAAGCCCCTCCAGAGTGTGAAGAGGACATGCTTGGGTTTAATGGTTCTAATGGTGTGGTGGGAGGTTAGAACTGGAGGATCTTTAAGGCCCTTCCAACCCAAACCATTCTGGGATTCCTTGAGCAGGGAAAGGAAAGAGCTGGAAAACCCCCCCCCCCAAAGCTGGAGAAACCAACTCAGAAAGGTGATTTCTAGGTGGGTTTTAGAGGCAAACCAACCCCTTTAAATAAAACCCAGACCAGCTCCAAATAAAACTGGAGGAAGCCAGGCTATTTGCCGTGGGGAGGGAGGGGATCCCAGGGGTCTCACCTGGTGTACTCGGAGCCCACCACCCTGGCATACTCTGCTCCCACCCCCAGCAGGTCACAGGCAGACACCAGGTCCTTCTCCAGGGTGTGCAGTTGCTGGAATGACAAAAAAAAGGGACCCAAAAGGTCAGGGTTTGCTCCATGAAACCCACTCCAGAGTTCCCCAAGTGTCCCTATCCCTGTGCTTTCCATGAGCCAAAATACAAACCCCCAGACTTCACATTCACATAATTTAATTACACATTCAACTTACATATATTTTTACATAAATACACTCATAAACATATATTTATTTTATATACACTTGTGAGCACATCCCAGAACAGGAATTCAATTCATATATATTTTTATATAAATACACTTCATTTATATATTTATTTTATAAACACCTGTGAGCATATTCCAGAGCAGGAACAGTAACTTTCCCTGGACACCTTTCACCTGCTCCTTTTTCCCCTCCCACATCTACCAAGGCAGTAGAAAACTTTAAAAAGACATTTTAAAAGAAGTTTTAAAAGACATTTTAAAACATATCTCTGAGAAATTTTAAAAGACGTTTTAGAGACATTTTAAAAGCTGTTTTTAAGACCCCAACAAACCCTCAGAGCCTGGCAAACCCCAATTCCAGCAGGATTTCAGGCCATTCCCTGCAAACCCCAATTCCAGCAGGATTTCAGACCATTCCCTGGCAAACCCCAATTCCAGCAGGATTTCAGACCATTCCCTGCAAACCCCAATTCCAGCAGGATTTCAGACCATTCCCTGCAAACCCCAATTCCAGCAGGATTTCGGACCATTCCCTGCAAACCCCAATTCCAGCAGGATTTTGGGCCATTCCCTGGCAAACCCCAATTCCAGCAGGATTTCAGACCATTCCCTGCAAACCCCAATTCCAGCAGGATTTCAGGCCATTCCCTGGCAAACCCCAATTCCAGCAGGATTTCAGACCATTCCCTGCAAACCCCAATTCCAGCAGGATTTCAGACCATTCCCTGGCAAACCCCAATTCCAGCAGGATTTCAGACCATTCCCTGCAAACCCCAATTCCAGCAGGATTTTGGGCCATTCCCTGCAAACCCCAATTCCAGCAGGATTTTGGGCCATTCCCTGGCAAACCCCAATTCCAGCAGGATTTCAGACCATTCCCTGCAAACCCCAATTCCAGCAGGATTTCAGACCATTCCCTGCAAACCCCAATTCCAGCAGGATTTCAGACCATTCCCTGCAAACCCCAATTCCAGCAGGATTTTGGGCCATTCCCTGCAAACCCCAATTCCAGCAGGATTTTGGGCCACTCCCTGGCAAACCCCAATTCCAGCAGGATTTCAGACCATTCCCTGGCAAACCCCAATTCCAGCAGGATTTTGGGCCATTCCCTGGCAAACCCCAATTCCAGCAGGATTTCAGACCATTCCCTGCAAACCCCAATTCCAGCAGGATTTCAGACCATTCCTGGCAAACCCCAATTCCAGCAGGATTTCAGACCATTCCTGGCAAACCCCAATTCCAGCAGGATTTCAGACCATTCCCTGCAAACCCCAATTCCAGCAGGATTTCAGACCATTCCCCGCAAGCCCCAAAATCCCTCCTTTTCTTTTTTCCCTGCTCCCCCTCTGGAGCTGTGTGTTCCTGCTTCCCACGGGATGATCCCTGCTGCTTCCTGCCCCACCTGCCCTCGCTCCAGCCCAACCAACCCCCGGATCTGTGGCCTGGATTTCTCTCTCCCCTCCCCGTTAAGAGCCCCGGCTGAGGGGTGAGGGGGGTGAGAAGGGCATCCCAAAGGGAATGCAGGGCTTTCCCAGGCCTTTCTCCTGCTGCAGGGGCAGGGAGCACTTACTGCCAGCTGGAAGAGCAGGCGGCAGTGCCAGTAGGGAGTCTGCTGGGAGATCTGGATGGCCTTTCGCAGCAGGGGCTTCGCCGTATCCACGGAATTCTGCAACACAAAGGCGGGACACTGGGAATCCAACCCCTCCCAAGGAGCTGCAGAGCAGTTCTGGGTGGTGGAGGTGAGGGATTTAAACGCAGGGAAAGCAGCAGAACCAAGAGGGGAGAGCCTGGAAGAGGATTCCTGGAGAAGCTGTGGCTGCCCCATCCCTGGGAGTGTCCAAGGCCAGGCTGGAGCCACCTGGGATAGTGGGAGGTGGCCCTGCCCCTGCACTGGAGGGGCTTTAATGCCCTTCCAGCCCAACCCCATTCCATGATTCCAAACCCCCGAGGAAAACCCTCGACTCCCCTCCCACCCCCAAAATCAACCTCTGCCAAAGCGAGGCCTCACTTTGGCCAAGGGAACTCCCTCTGGAAAATCCACGTTGCAATTCCAGCAGCAGCTTCCAGAATAAATAATAAAAAAAAAAAGACAAAAAGCCCTTCGTGCCTTTTTTTTTTTTTTTTTTCTTTTTAACTCCTCCGTATTTACAACCCCAACCCTAAAAATCCCATAAAATCGTCCCATTAAGGGGAATCACCCGCTCCAGGGGCTGGAAAGGCAGCTCCTGGTGGTGCCACTCACCTCCTGGCAGTACAGCTCCGACAGCAAACTGGCTGCCTCGAACTTCACATCTTCAAACTGGGGGATCTGGCACCAGAGTCAAGGAATAACGGACACGGGGTGGAAAACAGCACCAGCCTGGCCCCCAGAAACTCTGAACCCCTCAGGAAAGCTGGGATCAGATGGGCCCTAAGGTCCCTTCCAAGCCAAACCATCCCGGGGTTCAATGAAAGAGGCCCCCAGTGATGAAAGAGTTTAAAAGTAGATTTAAAATAGAATAAAAGCATCAGTTAAACCCCCACCCCAGGCCCTTGGAGGTGCTTAAGGAGTTTCCATGGAGGTGTTTTGTGCTCAGCACCTGCAAAGGACAATTAACTCTCTCTTCAAACACCTCAAGGCTCTTTGGGAGGGAATTTTTCAGCTCTTCCCAGTGATCCACCCGCTCCCTGGATGTGCTCCCGGGAGAAGCAGCAGTGCTGTGCCAGGAAAAGGATACCTGCTGGGATATCAGCCACTGCAAGGGAACACGGGGGGTTAGTCTGGGACCAGCACCCACCGGGACCCCTCCACCAGCCCCTCCCTCACCCCCTCCGTCCCGCTCACCGCCTTCTCCAGGTGCTGGGACACCCCTATCGCCTCCCTCCCCTACTCCAGGACTCCCCCGAGCCCCCCAAACCCCGCTCACCGCCTTCTCCAGGTGCTGGGACACCCCCATCGCCTCCCTCCCCTACTCCAGGACTCCCCCGAGCCCCCCAAACCCCGCTCACCGCCTTCTCCAGGTGCCCGCGGGCCTGGTCGCCGTTGCGGGTGTGGTGGTAGAGGACGGAGCCGAGCTGGAGGTGCGTGCGGGCCTCCATTCTGGCGGGGGGCTTGCGGGGCAGCACGGCCTGCAGGCAGTGCACGCAGAGCCGCACCTTGGGCGGGCTGGACGTGCGGAAGTGCTCGGCCAGGCCCAGCAGCGCCAGGTACCACGACTCGCCCGCGGCCGCGCCGCCGCCCGACCCCGAGCCCGGCGCGGGCCCGGCCGCGCCGCCGCCGCCTCCGCCCGCGCCGCCGCCGCCCCCGGCGCCACCCGCGGCTCCCGCGGCGTCCCCGGAGCCCGTCCCGCCGCCTCCCGCCGGCTGCGGCGGCTGCTGAGGCGGCGGCGGCTGCTGAGGGGCCGCCGCGCCCGCCGCCACCGCCGCCATCTTGGGGCCGCCGACAACACGGGCGGGGGGCGCGGGGCAGGGCGGGAGGTGTAGTTCGCGCGCGGGGGCTCATGGGAGTTGTAGTCCCGCGGCCTAAGAGCGGGGTCGGGGCCTGTCCTGCCCCATTTAAAAGTTCTCTTTTCTTTAAAACTCCTTTTAAAATGGCTTTCAAAACGTCTTTTGAAACTCCTTTAGAACGTCTTTAAAAAAAAAACTCTCTAAAACACCCTTTAGAATTTCTTTTAATTTTTTTTTTTTAAAATACGTTTTTAAGGCGTTTGAAAAGTAAAAGTTCTTTAAAAATAAAAGCCCTTTTTAAACGTAAAGCCCTTTGAAAATTTGAAAATTTAAAAATGGTATTTAATATATGGTACTTAATATTTAATACATAATGTGAAATATATAATATATAATATATATGTAAATTATATATAGTATGTAATGTAATATGTAATATGTAATACTATATATAATAGTTAATATATAGGTGATGTATATTATATATCACCTTATATTATATCACATTATATTATATATTATATATATAGATAGATAGAATTTTTATATAATATGAAATATATTATGTAATATATAATACATTGATAAATAATGTGTAATACATGTTATATAAAATATGATACATAACATATAATATTTCTCTCCCACGCTTTGTTCACTGTAGCACCTCAACATCGATTTAGCAAAACTTAAAATTCTCCGATTTTTTCCCAAATTTTCCCCGAAACGCCTCGCGCCGGCCGCGGCGCCAAACGGCTCCGCCGGCGATTAATTACGCAATTAACCGTCAAACTTAATTAACCGCCATCCTTCGCTGGCCCCCCCTTAGGGACTACAACTCCCGGCAGCCCTTGCGGCTGCGCGGCCCCCTCGCGGCGCGCCCGGCGCGGGGCACGCTGGGAAGGGGACTCCAAAATGGACAACCACCGGGATGCTCCAGGTACGGCCCGGCCCCGCCGCTCCCCCCGGGCCCGCCGCGCTCCCGCCGCCCCGACCCTTCCCTCCCGCCTCCCTCCCGACGCTCCGGGAGCCGCGCGTGGCTGCCTGTGCCCCAGGGGTGGCTGCGTGCCCGTGGGGTGCCGTGCCTTCGCTCCCCCCCCCCCTCCTCCGTTGATTTCCTTCCCCCCTCCCCGGTTTTCCCGCTGGGAAGGCGGGACGCTGGTTTGCGATGGTCCCTCCGTTAAGATTCCCCTCGGCTTTTCCTGCAGGGCAGGCGAGGCGGTGGTTTGGGATGACCCTTCCCCCTCCCCTTCTCCTCCCTTTTCCCATAGGGAAGGCGAGCCGGGGATTTGGGAGACCCCGCTGTTGATTTTTTTTTCCCCCAGTGAAGACAAGCTGAGGTTTCGGGGTGCCCCCCCCCAGGTTAATTCCTCCCCCTTTTCCCCGGGGAAGCCCAGCCAGTGATTTGGGATTACCCCCATTAATTCCCCCTATTTTTCCCCAGGGAAGCCCAGCCGGTGTTCCAGGACGATCCCCATTAATTCCTTCTCTTTTCCCCAGGGAAAACTAACCAGTGTTCCAGGATGATCCCCATTAATTCCCCCTGTTTTTCCCAAGGGAAGGCCAGACCTGTTCCAGGACAATCCCCATTAGTTCCCCCTGTTTTTTCCCAGGAAGGCCCAGCTGGTGATTTGGGATTACCCCCATTAATTCCCCCTGTTTTCTCCAGGGATGCCCAGCGGGTGTTCCAGGACGATCCCCATTAATTTTCCCTGTTTTCTCCAGGAAAGCTCAACCAGTGATTTGGGATTACCCCATTAATTCCCCCTATTTTCCCCCAGGAAAGCTCAACCAGTGATTTGGGATTACCCCCATTAATTCCCCCTGTTTTCCCCCAGGGATGCCCAGCCGGTGTTCCAGGACAATCCCACTGATTCCCCCTCTCCCCCAGGAAAGCCCAGTGGGTTTTCCAGGACAATCCCACTGATTCCCTGTCTCCCCCAGGCAAGGCCAGCCGGTTTTCCAGGACAATCCCACTGATTCCCTGTCTCCCCCAGGAAAGCCCAGTGGGTTTTCCAGGACAATCCCATTGATTCCCTCTCTCCCCCAGGAAAGCCCAGTGGGTTTTCCAGGACAATCCCACTGATTCCCTGTCTCCCCCAGGCAAGGCCAGCGGGTTTTCCAGGACAATCCCACTGATTCCCTGTCTCCCCCAGGGAAGCCCAGCCGGTTTTCCAGGACAATCCCACTGATTCCCTGTCTCCCCCAGGCAAGGCCAGTGGGTTTTCCAGGACAATCCCACTGATTCCCTCTCTCCCCCAGGGAAGCCCAGCCGGTTTTCCAGGACAATCCCACTGATTCCCTCTCTCCCCCAGGAAAGCCCAGCGGGTTTTCCAGGACAATCCCACTGATTCCCTGTCTCCCCCAGGGAAGCCCAGTGGGTTTTCCAGGACAATCCCACTGATTCCCTCTCTCCCCCAGGAAAGCCCAGCCGGTTTTCCAGGACAATCCCACTGATTCCCTCTCTCCCCCAGGAAAGCCCAGCTGGTTTTCCAGGACAATCCCACTGATTCCCTGTCTCCCCCAGGAAAGCCCAGTGGGTTTTCCAGGACAATCCCACTGATTCCCTCTCTCCCCCAGGGAAGCCCAGCGGGTTTTCCAGGACAATCCCACTGATTCCCTGTCTCCCCCAGGCAAGGCCAGCGGGTTTTCCAGGACAATCCCACTGATTCCCTGTCTCCCCCAGGCAAGGCCAGCCGCTGGTTCGGGGTGTCCCAGTCGAAGGCAGCCAAGACGAGCGTGAACATCCTGCAGCAGGAGGAGCTCATCGCCCAGAAGAAGCGGGAGATCGAGGCCCGGCTGGAGCAGCAGGCGAGGCAGAATTCCCTGAGCATCCCCCAGCTCCCCCTGCTCGGAGAGTACGTGGAGCCCTCACAGTTCCATGGGAAGGGGGGAGGCAAAGGAGGAGCTCTGCACCTGGGGGGAATTCCTGGGAATGTTGTAGCGAGGGGTGGGATTGGGGTGGTCACGGGGGCATCGGGGTTTTCAGGCCTTAATTTAATTTGATAGAACTGAAATAACTCTAATTCTAATAATTTAATTTAATTTGATAGAAATGTTTCTCAGAAATTGATTTATGTATATAAAAATACATTTATATATAATTTATAACCTTATATATTATGATTTATAGTCATCATGCTCTATATATGATTTATTAACACACTGAGATATTTATGATAGAACCCATATGTTGATATATTCATTACAGTAATTATGTGTGATTTATTAATGTATTGATATATTTATGATATATTTAGCTTAGGAATTATACATATGATGTATTAACATTGATATGGTAGTGATAGAAATTATATATTGACATACTCTAGAGTTATATATAGATTTATTAATAGATTGGTATATTATGGTTTATCTATTATAGAAATTATATATGGGTATGCATTTATATATTTATCAGAAATTATGGATATGACATTAATGTATTTATTAATGTATTGATGTATTATGATATATAATATGATATATCCATGATGGGAGTTATATATGGATATATTTATCATAAGGATTATGTATGTGATTTATCAATATAATGATATATTATGTGTCTATGATAGGAATTATGTATGGATATATTTATCATAGGGATTATGGATGTGATTTATTAATGTATTGATATAATTATGATACATTTGTGATAGAAGTTATATATGGATTTAATATCCCCAGGGGCTGGGGAGCCTCCTGAGCTCCATCTCCCCCTTTTATTAATAATTCTGGGGGGTTTTATCCTGTTTTCTGCCCCCAAATCCCAGTGTGGGAGGGACTGGGGAGCCTCCTCAGCTCCATCTCCTCCTTTTATTAATAATTCCCAGGGGTTTTATCCTGTTTTCTACCCCCAAATCCCAGTGTGGGAGGGGCTGTGGAGCCTCCTCAGCTCCATCTCCTCCTTTCATTAATAATTCTGGGGGGTTTTATCCTGTTTTCTGCCCCCAAATCCCAGTGTGGGAGGGACTGGGGAGCCTCCTGAGCATCATCTCCCCCTTTCATTAATAATTCTGGGGGGTTTTATCCTGTTTTCTGCCCCCAAATCCCAGTGTGGGAGGGGCTGGGGAGGCTCCTCAGCTCCATCTCCCCCTTTCATTAATAATTCTGGGGGGTTTTATCCTGTTTTCTGCCCCCAAATCCCAGTGTGGGAGGGGCTGGGAGCCTCCTGAGCATCATCTCCCCCTTTCATTAATAATTCTGGGGGGTTTTATCCTGTTTTCTGCCCCCAAATCCCGGTGTGGGAGGGGCTGGGGAGGCTCCTCAGCTCCATCTCCCCCTTTTATTAATAATTCCTGGGGGTTTTATCCTGTTTTCTGCCCCCAAATCCCGGTGTGGGAGGGGCTGGGGAGGCTCCTCAGCTCCATCTCCCCCTCTTTTCCTCTCCCAACCAGCGACGATGGCTCCGAAGGCGACGCCTCCGTGTCCAACAAGTTCGTGAACGACGGGAGTTTCCTGCAGCAGTTCCTCAAGCTCCAGAAGGAAAAGTCGAGTGCTGGTAGGTCCATCCCGAGCTCCAGGCTCTGCTCCTGCCTAAACCCCTGCTAGGAAGTTCTGAGGCGATGATTATCCCTGAAAATCGGGGTCAAAGTCTGCATTTGGGATGCTCCAGGAAGGTTTTTCCCCCTCTTTCTTTTCACCTTCCCTGTGCTGTGAAGTCGAGCAGTTCTCTCCTGGCTCGAATCTCGCTTTGTGAAAAGTCATCAGCGGGGTTTTTTTCTGGCTTCTATTTTAAATTAAATTAAATTTGAATTAAATGAATAATAACAAATTAAATCGCTTGAATTTCAATGTATTTAATTTAATGATATTTATTTGAAATTTCTTGAAGTCCAGTTCCTTGGGGTCCAGTTCCTTGGGGTCCAGTTCCTTGGGGTCCAGTTCCTTGGGGTCCAGTTCCTTTCCAAGAATTTTAACTGGAAGAAATTCTCCCCAAATTCTCCCCAAATTCTCCCCAAATTCTCCCCAAATTCTCCCCAAATTCTCCCCAAATTCTCCCCAAATTCTCCCCAAATTCTCCCCAAAAATTCTCCCCAAAAATTCTCCCCAAAAATTCTCCCCAAAAATTCTCCCCAAATTCTCCCCAAATTCTCCCCAAATTCTCCCCAAATTCTCCCCAAATTCTCCCCAAATTCTCCCCAAA